TCCACACACACACACACACACACACACACACACACACACACACACACACACACTTCTCTACTTGCACTCTCGTCCTGTGAACCCACTTTTTTTTTTTTCTGCATACCTCCTAATTCGAAGGTTCAGCTGGCCTCTCAACAAAATTGATCAACTTCTCCCGACAGGAGTCAGGGTAAGGAGGACCCTCTTACCTCGACAGAAACAAATTGGATTCATGATGACAACTGTTTTTTTGATGTTTGGCTGGTGAATTCTGGATTGTCTATAAATTTGTGTGGATGTGTCTAAGCTTGACAGCTTGATGGAGGGTGGGGGGCCTCTGTACTATGCTAGGACCTTCCATTAAAAATTCAATGTCTTCACCGGCCTATATGTACATTTTAACGTCTATTTATGTTGCTTTACTGTGGTAGGTTTTTTGATGCGTCAAATCGTGCCCTCTCCAGGACACAGCGTGAGAGATCTTTTTTTTATACCATCTCTCCTCATGTTTTCTTCTCTTTTCTCATCTAAACAAAATATTATTCTGAATAAAAATAAGAGGGCCGCGCTTTCTATAGTAGCAGCTTTGTGCACTCTGCCCATCTATCGGACAACTGTACGTACATGTTCCCGTTGTATCTCGGTGCAATGATAATAAAGTTTATTCTGAATGACAATAAAGAACCTTGAATCCTAGAAAACTTGTACATAATTGGATTTATGATAACAGGATTTCTACTTTTTGGTGTTGGTGGTTACCTGGCATATCGACAAATGTGAAAAATGTTGACAGCTGTTCTGGCCATTGTAAAGGCTGCCCGGCTTGTGTGAAGGAATGTGCCGTGTGGTGAGCACTCAGACTTAGATGCTGTTTGAGCTGAGCTGTAAGCTGGACGTGATTTCTGAGAACTGCAGGCCACTTGCGGCTCATGAAACTCACTGGCGGGAAAGAATCGACCTTGGAGAAGTTATAAGCTAGGCCCGGTGGTGCTGACAACAAAATTTGGCTGTTTAGAGTAACCATTGAGACGTACCAGTAGACCTATAAGGCAGACAGAAATCAAGAAGAGTCGGCCTGACCCAAAATAATTGCTGTTATCTGAATCTGGCTCCCCTGTGTCGGCCTTGAATTGACCAACTATCTCAAACGCTCCTGGATGTTTTGTGAACAAGAAGCTCTGCTCCCCCCTCCCTTCCCGAGGACATCTGTGGACCTGTGTCAGAGCTGAGCCGGCTGATAGACACTGCATTATCTCTTATCAGGACTCTGGGGACTATCAAGCAGTGTCCACAGACAAACTCACATCGGCCTTCATCATGCAAATGTATTATGATGTCATCATGCTGTTTCTGTGCTGAGCTTGTTTTTTTTTTTCAAATTTCACACTGTGTCCCATCTAGGACACATTGGGAGATATGAGTTTTTTTTATACCTCCCCTTCCCCCATGTGTCTCTTTTCCTTATCTAAACAAAAACGGCAGCGCCTCCTGAGGCCGCAGCTTCAAACTCCTCCGTCTCCCCATGTCTGTTTGTTATGATTTTTTTTCCTTGGACGGGCTGTACCGAAATGTAATTTCATTGCGCTTCGGTGCAATGACAATAAAGCTGACTCTGATTTATGTAGATGAGACTATGAATAGCTTCTTAAATAGTGATTTTGCAGATATTTACTGGCACGTTTCATGATTTAGCACTCATTTCTGTTACTGCCATTTCACATACTGTGATCCTGCTGCAGGAAGTGCATCTGGGGATAAGACAACTAACTGCCAAATCTTTTGTGCAAGTTTACTCACTGTGGCGACCCCTGAAGAAATGAGCAGCCGAAAGAAAAACAACTTCCTTTTCACATCCTGGGTGTTTCCATGAGTCAGACACTAATAGCTCTTCATGATAAACAAGATTTTCATTGCACAATGAAGTTGACCAAATGGACTCTTTTTTTTCCAGTAAATGGTTGAAGAGATGTACAAAAACTGCCATCTGTACTTTCAGTTTGCTTTGAGTTCCTAAGTACTACTATAATTGTGTGTAGAACTTACATCTACTCATGCCTATTCTTACAGCTATTGTGCAGTCAAAAACAAAAACATACATTAAGGCATAGACTCGTAACTTTGTGGAACAACAACAGACAATCCTAAATTGCATTATTTCTTATACACAGATCACAGTGCAAAGTTAAAAAAAAGAAAAATGTCTGTATGACTTTGCTTGGAGGCAGACATCTTCAGGATAATGTTTTTAGCTTTGCATCCAGGATTGCAAAAAAACATATTAACAATTATAATTATATTGTTTATTTTAATATAAATCAATTTTTATATTTGGTCAGTTGCATTTTGCAACATTTTACATTGTCCTCCATCTTTCAGTACTTACAAAATCTTATCTGCAATAATATATATATATATATATATATACCTTATATACAAAAGCAAGAAGCTGTTTCTTTCAGTTCACATTGAATTAGGATGTCCACACAGTTATAAATTTGAAACTGTTGAAACATGTAAAGGACTCACACTGTTGTTTTAACCCCTTTTGCAAAATCCTTTACAGTATATTCAATATACATGTGTACCCACTCAGTGCATTTTGTTGTACTGCATATCTTGTAGTCTAAACACAACCTTTTTTCCCCTTTCATCCTTTCACATGCTTATAGGTGGCAGTAGGGAGCACAAAGTTACCGGCTGAGGTTCCTTACCACTGGGCCCAAGCTGCATCAAGAAGTAACATGTAGTAACATTTACCTTGTCAAATTTAGAACTTTTATTAGTTTAGTTTTTCATACCTTTAAGTAAATAAATAAATATATAGGAACAGTTTTAAAAGATCTGTATCCACACAGGAGAGCATTTGAGCTTTGTAAGGTGTTCTCACAGTAATTAAACAGTAGAGGAGGCTGTGTAAAGTGAGATGTAATCTGCTGTAACGCTCACACTTTCGGACTGATGCACGTTTTGCTTCACAGTGGACGATTGTACTTCTAATTGCTCTGCAGCTCTTTTCCATTTTTTATATAACTATTCACTTTTAACAAGCAAGGTGCTCAAGGTGTCCATAAAAGCCAGACACTATACATGTTTGTAAGATCATGCAGAGAAACCTCCACAGATGTAATTGCAGGAGTTCATCCATCCATTATCTTTACCTGCTTCTTTCTTTTTGGGTCACTGGTGCCCATATCCAGCAGTCACTGGGTGAGAGGTGGAGACACCCTGGACAGATCTTCAGTCCATCACAGGGACACATTACAAGACAAACAGTCATTCACTCTCTCACTCACACCGAGGGACAATTTAGAGTTACCAATCAGTCTAACATGCATGTTTTTGGTCTGTGGGAGGAAACTGGAGTGCCTGGAGAAAACCCACACATGCACATAGAGAACATGCAAACTCCACCCAGAAAGGCCCCCAGCTGGGATTAGATCAGGCGACCTTCTTGTTTAGAGGCGAGAGTTATTGGGAGAAGAAACACCCCCCCAACATCTGCTAGTGTAATTTCTCAGTCATCATGGTCATGGCAAATCCATGACACCCCCAGAAAGAAAAAGGAGAACAAAAACAAAAAAATAACCAAACTGGATTTCTATTCCGTTGCTGAAAATGTTGAGCTTCCTGTCCAGGGAGCTTTTTCAATTCAAATATTTCCAAGTTTTAAACTAGACTGTTTGAAATGCTTCATTATGCAAGCTAAACTCACATGCACATGAATGCACATGGAACGTGAATTTGTGTGTGTGTGTGTGTGTGGGTGTGTGTGTGTGTGTGTGTTGTTTAACCCAAAATACTTCACAACAATGGAGTTTCCTAATTCCAGTTCCTTGCTTGACGAATTATTACGTGTGCCATATTATTTGGCTGTAGGATACTCAATTAATAAAATTCTTCAGAAAAAGGTTTTAGTTGTGCAAATTCCCAACGAGGCTCATCTCTCTATGTGTCACCGTTAATGTACTCATGCCAGTCAGTGGAAAGTCCCAAAGATAACTCCTGCGTGTCGTCTTATGAACACATCCAAAACCACCAATTCTGAAATCCTGATAAAAGCACCGCTGTTTCCAGATTACAGTAACAACATTCTCAGATTA